CTGTGTGTCTCTTGGGGCACGTCTTCAGCACTCAGCTAGGTAGTTTACGACTGTGCCCTGAGTCATCACTTCCTGCTTGTACAGAGCCTGAAGATCAGCCAGAGGTGAGAGCTTAGGGCCTTCTCAGGTCTTTTCTGAATATGTGTCCAACCCTGGGCATCTGTGTGTTCTTCTAGATTCCCAGGTGTATGTGATGGCTTTTCAAAGCCCTTATTCCCCAAAGCATCTTATTTCCAAGCCTTTCCTCCTAGACTTTTCAGTTTGTCTGTTGTTTGCCCAAATGTTATCCCTTGCCCCAGGCAGCATCAGCTAACAGATTTGCCTTTAAATGTTTTGACAAACACCCCCTAGTTAGGCATCTCAGTCCTGGGAGAGTTCTGAGTTAGGTGAAATAAAGGCAAGTCTTTTGAGTGTGATTTCCTTTCTTCAAGGAGCCACCAGACATTTCAAAACAAACAACCACAGTTGTTTGAGAATAAAGTTCATTCTGCTCCCTTCAATAATAGAAACATATGTTAGGGATGTGGGCTGTTGTCTTCAAGAATGCTGCCCAGCTGGGTGGCAGTGGATAGGGCCAGAGTAAGTTAAAATGCCACAAAACTCTTTTACCGAGATTCACCTATTTTGTTTCCTTTATTACTCGTTTTCAGAGTTCTGATAAAGTTGATTCTAACCACTTTTTTTCATTTTATTTACTGCTTTAATAGAGGACTAGACTTTTGCAGTTCCCTACAGGGTCCTGGTGGCACAGTGGTTAAGAGCTCAGCTGTTAACCAAAAGGTTGGCAGTTTGAGTCCACCAGCCAGTCCTTGGAAATCCTGTGGGGCAGTTCTACTTTGTCCTGTAGGGTTGCTATGAGTTGGAATTGACTCGACAGCAATGGGTTTGATTTGGTTTTGATACTCTGCTAAAAGGAATCAAGAAGAATTCCTTTTAAGACACAAAACCTACTAACCATAAAGGAGAATATTGATAGATTTAACTGTATCAAAATTGAAAGCTTCTATTCATCAAAGGACATGATAAAGTAAGTGTAAAGACAAGCTACAGAGTAGGAATAGATATTTATGGCATATACAATTGATAAAGGACTAGTTATCCAGAATAGATACCAAAATCTAACAATTCTATGAGAAGAAACAACCCAATAAATGGAAAATTGATTAAAAGACTTGACCAGGGACTTCACATAAGAGAAAATGTAAATGTTTTAATAAGAATTTTCTCACCCTGACAGTACACAATACAGGAGAAACTAGCACAACTTGTACAAGGAAAGGTCATGGAAGCCCCATAGACACATCCAAACTCCCTGAGGGACTGAATTGCTGGGCGGAGGGCTCTGGGGACCATGGTCTCGGGGAACATCTAGCTCAGTTGGCATGACACAGCTTATAAAGACAATACTCTACATTCTACCTTGGTGAGTAGTGTCTGGGGTCTTAAAAGCCTGTGAGCAGCCATCTAAGATACTCCACTGGTCTCATCCCTTCGGGAGCAAGGGAGAATGGAGAGAACAGGATACAAGGAAAAGATTATTCTGAAGGACTAATTGTCCACAGCTACCAAGGCCTCCACCGGACTGAGTCCAGTACAGCTAGATGGTGCCCAGCTATCATCACTGACTGCTCTGACCAGGATCACAGCAGAGGGTTCTGGACAGAGCTGGAGAAGGATGTAGAGCATAATTCTAACCCACAAAAAAAGACCAGATTTACTGGCCTAAAGGAGACCGGAGAAGCCCCAAGAGTGTGGCCCCCAGACACCCTTTTAGCTCAGTGGTGAAGTTACCTCCGAGGTTAACTGTTCAGCCTGGGAGTGGACAGCCCCGTAAAACCAAATGAGACTAACGAGGTACAGGAGTCCAGTGACAAGGGCCAGAAAGCAGAAGGGGACAAGGAAGCTGGTGATAGGGAACCCAAGGTTGAGTAAGGTTATTGTTGATGTGTTGTGAGATTGTTAACCATTGTCATAGGGCAACATTTGTAGTAACTGTTAAATGAGAAACTATTTTGTTCTGTAAGCTTTCATCTTAAGTGAGAATAACAGCACGATTCGAAGAGTGTAGGCAATGTCACTGAACTGTGCATGTAGAAATTTTTGAAATGGTGTATCTTTGGCTATGTGTATTTTCACCAAAAAAAAAAAGATTGAGAAGTTAGAGGGTTGATGTGTTGTGGTGTTGTTAACCAATGTCATAAAACTACATGTGTACTTCTATTTCATGAGAAACTATTTGTTCTGTAAGCCTTCACCTGAAGTACAATCAATCAATTAATTAATTAATTAAACAAAGAATTTTCTCACCCTTATTAACAATCAGGGAAAGACAAATTAAAGTCACAATGAGATCTCAGATTTGAAAAAAATTAAAAATACTGACAATACTAAGTAGAGGTAAGTTGTGAAGTAAGGGGAACTCATACCTTTCTGTTGAGAGATGTATAAATTGGATCAACCAATTTGAAAGTTAGTAAAAGAAGATATTCATACCCTATAATGTTAATTCTACTCCCGAATATGTATATATACTAGAAATTTATGCACGTGTGTATCGTGATTCACGGACAACAGTATTTATAGTGTCAGTGTTCATAATGTCCCCCAAATGAAAACAATACAAATGTCCATCAACAGAGTAATCTATATTCACTGCTTTCGTTTCCTTACCTCGCACTCTTTCTTAATCCCTTGTAATCAGTTTTCTGTCTTCATCAAATAATGACATCCCGCTCAGGTAACTAGTGACAGCCGCCGTCTTGTTCTTCAGTGTCTATTTCATCCTCTTTCTCCTAGGTTTTGTCTTGGTATATTCTTCCCATATAGTCTTTCTCTTGAGGATCTCATCTACTTCTCTGGGTTCAGCTACCATCGCTCTGCAAATAATCTATACGTATCTATTTCTATCATAGGTTTCTCTTTCAAGATGGGGAAAATCAATGTCCATATTAGGTAATGAAATTGCAAATGTCTGGTTGCCAATATTAACTAGATCCACAGTGATGATTTACCCCAAAATTAAACTTAACTTCCTCCTCAAATATCCTAATGTTTTTTTTACATTCATTTACGTTCATACACACACAAACACAAAGATTTGTAGTATGTATACACACGTGTATGTATGTAAGTCTGGAGGGAGATTGATAGGTAGGTAGGTAGGTAGGTAGATAGATCACACAAACACACACTACTTTGTGAAAGTGCTTTATTAGGTACTGGACATACAATAGTAGCAATAGTCCATCATCATGACAATACATTGTAGTATAGGAGATAGATATTGATCAAACTATCACACATATAAGTGTAGTAATTGCTGTGAAGGAAAGGGACATAGTGCCGTGCAAGATATAATAGGGGCATTTGACTTCCTTCCTTTTTCCAGTACATAGCCTTTTTTATTAGACATATGTGGCAGCAAGTAGGTCTTCTAAATTAGACTATCTTTCTTCATTTCTTGAAAATATTTGTCATAATTCACTAAGTGAACTAGCAGATGGAGCCATTTTTCTTCTCAATTCCCATTGCTTTTCATCCTAGTTATGAGGACATTGTCCATAAATTACATAAATTGTCCAGCTCTAAAATGGTGGCAGTACTATAGGTATTGAGAAATGTTGGTGTGTAAACTGCGTAAAGGAGCTTCTATGGAATAATCTTATGTCCTTTGTAAGAAACAGATGACACATAATGTCAAGAGCACCTTTCTGGTCACAAAGTTGGGCTACTTCTTTCTTTTCACATAGTAGGTGGTTGAATGTTAATTGCGTGTTCTTTTATCATATGTATTTCAACTCTTGTGCACTAAACTGAAAAGTGGTCAAATTGTCATTCTGAAGACCTGGGCCTATTGATATTAGCCCAAAACATTAAATAAATTATGCATAGCCTAAAATAATACATTTTATAAGAAATATAAATATTAATAACTTATAATAGTGTACAATGTTATTTCTCTTTATGTTTGTATACTTTTGGAATACTGCTACTTAATTACTTCAACCTTTACTATGTTGATAGGTATAATAATAACAATAACAGTAGCCAACATATATTATGTATTTACTACTTAGAGATGCTAAATAATTTATATGCATTTTCTTATCTTACTAAACCTCTCAGTAATCCAGTGTGGCGGATGCTATCATTATCCTCATTTTTCAGATAAATGAAACGGCAATTCAAAAGATATATCAGTCAGGGCCCCAGCAGAAATCAGATAATGCACTTAAATCAGGTGATTGAGGAGAGTTTAATAAGGGACTATAATATTTACAAAGATTCGGGTAGAGTTTAGGGCAGAGAAAGCAACACAGTGCCCTGAGACTAGTAACAGTCAGATGGAATGCATTAATGCACCTATGTCTAATGAGGCAAGGAGAGGGAGCTGTTGTTGGAACCCAGAAAGAGCTGTAAGGAAGGACCACCTGACAGGAGCTATGATCTTGAGTTGAGGGACAGCTAACCTGTGGTGACCTGGTAGGGATGGAGCCAGGGGAAGAAATACCAGACCTTACTCTCTTCCCATCCTCAGTCTTTTGCCAATAGCTGCTGTTGACTAAAACTAACTGGGAGCCAGAGAGCCAAAGATAACTTGTTTGCTGTCCATACAAGTCAGCTTAGAGCAGAGAGTGAAGAAGGGTGGAGAATGAATCTGAAAGGAAAATGGAAAATATTCTGAATTTAAATAACTTGCTCAAGATTTCAAACTATTAAATGGCAAAGCCAATATATGAATGCCCAATTCTCACTCTTAACCACAGAGCTATAGTGCCTCTTATCTAGAAAAGTTTTGTGAAATATTATTTGGCTATGAAAAATATTTTACATCTAAATATTTCTAACATTTCCTAAATTTTTGGATGCATTTTTTTTAACCTAACAGTTAATGATACCAAATATGTGAGTGCTGAACAGCAAAGAATGCCAAAAAACTTAGGTGTGATTTTTGACTTTACATTTCAGAATATTAAGCCGTTGTTGTTCTATTTGTTCAGATTCCAGACTCTATCATTTCTCGTGGCGTTCAGGTGCTCCCACGAGACACAGCCTCCCTCAGCACTACTCCTTCCGAATCGCCTCGTGCTCAGGCTACATCTCGCCTCTCTACAGCTTCCTGCCCAACACCAAAAGTAGGTACAGTTCCTTGGCACCTTACACCTGCTCTACTATGTAATTCTGGGAATACTAACCAGTATTTCCCCCTACTTATCAAGGTTGGATTGCATGTGAGATAATATTATGAAAAATGATGAATGGAATTTTATAGTTACCATCCGTTGTTTCACAAATTGTCGTATTAGGCCAACAGTAGGACAATAGAGATTTCATGCAAAATATGTACTCCTATATCACAGCTGAGGTATCACTTTCTGTAGCTCTTGTTTCTTTGTTGTAGACTTTTTTGTTTCTTTAGCATAGTCACAGTGTAGATGTGAAGCTCTTTGTTTATACAGAGAATAAATATATTTCTGGCAAATAAACAACAAGATTAACAAGATGAAATACTGTCACCAAAGGGATTTTTTTAACTTGTCCAAGCTGGGGTAGCTCCCTGCTCTAATATCATTCCAAATTTTTTCAAACATATTCAACTTGGAATGTTGCTGCCTAATATTTGGAAACAAGTCTAAATTAATGGAAAGTTTTAATGCCAACCTTTGGGGAAGGTGGTTCTTGGTCTTTATTTTTATAATCTGTTCCAAGTATGGAATCATTTCCAGGGAGAGGAAAGGACTAGGCACTTAGCCTCCCATCTTCGAGTTTATGATAAATTAACTAGAAAACTTAATTATGGTTATGACTGCTTTCCCTTGAGATTTCTTTCCTGGTTAAGTTAGTTGTTTGTGCTTTCAAGTTGTCTATCTAATATTGATATCAAATGGTTAGTACTAACATTCCTTCTAATTTAGTAAGATGTGCTGTTAGATATCAGGCTAAACACTAGATTTATTCTAGGAATCTGACAGTTAATTTTCAAACTGTGACTTTTCCTGTGTCATCAATTTAAGGACCTATATAGCTGTCCTCCTCAATTCTAACTTATCCATCAGCTTTATGTATGTTATAATTGGATTTGATTAGAAGCAGTCTCAAATGTTCTTGATGTGGGTAGTGCAGTTGCTTTTACATTCCACAATACAACCTTCTCTGCCAAGTCTTCAGAGTGTCACTGTTATATATCTTTGTTTTTAGACATAAGTCAGAATTAACTGATGTTTATTTTATAGTTTAAAAAATTGAGGTCCTAAATCTACAATGAAGAAAATCTTTAAGAACATTCTAGATATAAAATGTATGTTAATGCCGTATGGGTGCCATCAGCTACATTTTCAATTGAATGCAAACAAGGAGTTCTCAAAACCAGAATTAGATAGAAAAGTTTCATCCATATTTTTTAATTAAAAAAATTATGGTTTGACTTCATTAAATTCCAGCTCATTTCAAAAGTGTAAGAAATAATTAAAACTAAAGTTAGGTCCTCTATAAAATGTTTAGTCATTCAACAAATGCCATGTACCTAAATGTTGAAAATGCAAACTACCGAAGATATACTATTTTTTTTTAATAATATATTGTGACTATAAATATTTTTCAAAAATATTTAAGCTATATTCAGTTATACATAGTAGTTCTTAAGTCTTTTAAAATTTTGTAGTTACATTGTTAGTTACAAAAGTGGTATTAAAATATAATTTTCAAAATCAATTGATACTTCCAAATTGACAAAAGTAAAATCCTAAAAATAAAAATGTTAATTTTTTTAAATCAATTTTCTTATTTTAGAACAGCAAGTGGCTTGTCTTGATTTTTCCTTAGCTAACACTTACATGTTCAAACTTTCAATACATTTAAATAATATACTTTTTTTAAATCTAGAAATAAGATTTTATTCCTTTTAGATACTTTTTTATCATCACTAGCATGTATACCTCAAAGATAAAAGTATTGCATCAGAGTAATTTTTAAAAATAAATCTTTAATTCTGAATTAGAATACTAATATAATGAAATAAACTAGTTTGAATATAGGGTTTTAAAGGAGTGGAGATCAAATTAATCTTTCAAATAAAAAGTCTCATAACTTACAAGATGCTTAATTGAGTGCTCTTACAGGTTATGAGTGCTTTTATATCAGTGACACTGTCTGCCTTTGTGGAGTTTAGAGTTTAGTCTGTAAATAGGTAGATAAACATAAATATAATAATTCTAATTTTTAATAAGTTCTAAGAAGAAACTAAAAGATTGTGGTGATAGAAAATAATAGGAAGGGCACCTAACTTAGATAATGTGGTCAGCGAAGGCTTCTTCTGGGAGTTACATTTCGTCGAGGACATGAAGGATAAATGGAAGTCCAACATGAACTTTTGTGCTGGTTGGAGGTTTTGAGGTTTTATATTCAGCAATAGTGACCATTTTAAATGCAGTTGTCACCAGTCAATGTTCTGGCTAGAACTTTAAATTAGTATATAAATGGTCTAATTCAGTGACTTCAAAAATCTAATTTCAAATATCAGTTCTTTCTTGTTTTAAATATTGAAAGTTTTGTTTTTCTTTGTTTTGTTTTTTGGTTGTTTTTGTTTTTGCCTTTGCCTACTGAGTGAAATTTCAGGACCATTGATTTTAGCACTTAGCTCTGTTCTAGGTCAATTACTTAATTTTTATAGCATAAAAATTTGGAGTAGAGAAGAAGTCAAAATATATTCTTAGGTTTCTGTTTTGAATTATTGGGTGGATGATGATGTTAAGGAATAAAAGAGAAGCATCAAGTTCTGAGGGTAAAACAATGGAGAGGTAATGCATTTCGGTTTCTAATGTGTTCAATCCGAGGTATGTCTGAAACATCCAAGGAGTGATATGCAGTACAAAAATTGGAAATACAAGTTGAGTTTGACATTGTTATTGCATCTTGGTTAATATTTATAATGTAGTACATATTAGTATAGGACGAACCCCATAGTAATCCCCTTTCTCCCTTTCAGATTAGGCATGTGCGGTCTGTCATGTGCTGAAATGTATGTACTAATATATTTTCTTAAGTAGTAAATACAGTCTTGAATTATCAGCACTAAAAAGATCACTAGACTTGATGATAGAAGACCTGAATTCACATGTTGATTTCTGTGCTTAATAACTATACTGCATTAGCCAAGTTTCTTAATTTTTCTGAGCTTCATGTCTGTGATGGAACTGGTAATCTCTGCTTTCCTAACAGGGTTTATTAATTCGTTAAATAAATCTTTGCCTGGTGCTGGGAAAGCACTGATGAGCAAATAAACATTGTTCTTGCTTTAACAAACAGACAAAATAAACAACTACAAGTTACGATAAAGTATAATAAAGTGCTGTAATTTATCAGCAAGAATACAGAATACTATGAGAATAACCATCAGAAGTACTTAAGCTAGTCTTTTTCGAAACAAAAAAGGACTAAATAACCAAGTTATGATTGAAAACTAACAGCTCCAACCTTTCCTTCTCTAGCTTTTTATCAGCTTAAACACTGATAAATATTTAAGCTGAAATATTTCTGACCATTTGGAAGTGTGTATCTATTTCTTATGTCAACTACTAAAATATTAAACATTATTTTGGATTCATGGTTTATATGTATAGTCCAACATAATATTCTAGAATATGCTTTAATCCTTTAAGATTCTCCAGCTATGGTGAGAACAGGATCTATAAAATGTGCTATGTTTTGATTTCCTTTTGTTCACTCATCCAAATATAATGAAGGGAACCATGTATTGTCTTTTGTAAACAATTCTCCATAGAATGGCATTGTCTCCAGAAAATATTTATTTGCTGAAATGACATAATATTTTACTGTGTATGGGAGAAAGTCATTTCTTTTGTATCAGATATTTTCTTCTAATGAAATCTGACTGAAATGATGAATATTCATTCTTCTTGTTTTATGACACAACAAAGTATTTTTTAAGAACAAATTTGAAATTTTAATCTTTCATTACCCTAAGTAAAATAATTCTTAAGCCAAAGAAACCAAATAATATGTAGATTTATTTATAGAACAGCTGGCAATAGCTAGAGGACTCAAATTCTAAAATGATGATAATCCCCCAAAAAAGATTTGCTGAAAGAATAATTCTATAACAGATAATTTCTATTGTAAAGTTACCATGATGTGCAATTTGGACAAATGCTGATTTTCCATTACGAAGGGCAGTGACATCTCTATTAGAAGTCAAATCAAGAGGCTTGAGGTAGAAAATAATGACGAGACCAAAAAAAAAAAAAAATCTGTACTTTTAATCAAAGCATCATTCCTTACAGATATTAAAATAGAAAATATTTTTTAAAAAAGAGCGACCAATTCAATTATCCTTTTATTTCCTAAGCGTCTGAAATTTGACTTTAAAAAATGTATGTAGTCCGTAGTCACATATTCCTTTATCTTAAAGTTTGCTATAGAATTTTGTGCCCAGGCTAACCAGCAAGCTATTTTTTTTCCCCCTCTTGGAAAGAAAATGTAAACACTATCAATATCTAATTGACCTAAAATTAATACAGTAGTTTAAAAGTTTATATGAAGGGGGTATTCATTTAATACACTAATGTCTAATTTAATATTCAAGCAAAATGCAAAATTGTGACCTTTGTATAGGTTTCTGTTTCCTTTGAGCAAAAGAATGTAAATTACTTTGGATAAATAATAAGCTAGTTTTTAACTCAAGATTTTTACTGTGTATGCCTGAAAGGCAGTGTTATTTCCTTTACATATAAAAATGGCATTATTGATCCAATAGAAGTATGATATTGTGTCTGAGATTCTCTTAGTGTTGTTAGTTTTTGAAAACTATTCCATATTGTCACCATTTTCCTTTGTGAAAACCAAGGTGATCATGTGATACAGCTAAGGAAACCCTGGTGGCGTAGTGGTTAAGTGCTACGGCTGCTAACCGAAAGGTCGGCAGTTCAAATCCACCAGGCGCTCCTTGGAAACCCTATGGGGCACGTCTACTCTGTCCTATAGGGTCACTATGAGTCAGAATTGACTCGACGGCAATGGGTTGTTTTTTTTTTAAACTGAGGTTTCCAAGTCTCTGGAGAATGCCATGAAGTTGCTGTAATTGTAGCTTAATCAAGGGTACTGATTGGGGCCTACAGGT